GATATCATACCAGTGTGAAAGAAGGCGACATTACAAAACGGTCCATTCTGTCCACGATAGCACGCCTATATGACCCTATCGGTGCAATCGGTCCGACAATATTTTGGGCAAAGTGCATCATACAGGAATTATGGATTCAAAAATTGCATTGGGATGCTCCACCACCTACACAATTGGTTGACGAGTGGAAAACGTTTACTTCCGAATTTAATACGTTATCTCAGGTGATGCTAACTCCAAGGGTAGGTGGACCCATCGTCTGATACCATGCATCGCAACCTGGCACAGCCGCAAGCACGGAGAAGTCAATTACCACCTGTCACAGGCTTTTACCAGTCATGGATGTTTCTCCTCATAACTCCATAAGTACTGCAACTTGGAATCACCAGCCTGCTGGTAATGCAACCACCACCACGATGATGCCTACCACACGCTCTTTGTATGTGATGCCTGGGAGAGCAGAAGAGCAAGAGCCAACACCCTTTTCGGGACCAACATGACTCCAGACAACCTCATCCCTCTCATGATGAAGAGCAAGGAATACTGGTCAATAGGAAGCAACTTCATCCAACAAGTAATGAGGAAGAAAGAGGATGAAGAAAGGAGAAGACAACGCAGCTTAACCCCATAAGGGGAAAACCTTAGTTAAGTTTGATTCTTGTAGGCCGAAGGCCAAAACAAGAGGGTTAGAGGCCCTCTACAATCTGTATTAATCTTAATTAATATCCATATGTCTATTATGTAAATAATTGTTTATTTATCAATAAATGATGGGGCATGGGGGTGAAATGACTAACGTCGGTTCCACCCCATGTCCCGATACCACGTAAAAAAACAAAAAAAAAAGGTGATGCTAACTCGACATATTGATATACAGTTATCGAAACATGTGGAGCTTATAGGTTTTGCGGATGCTTCTCAAAAAGGATACGCGGCAACCGTCTATTTACGAGTAGTTGGCCAGAGCGATGTTGTCAAGGTACATTTTATTGCATGCAAAACTAAGGTTGCTCCATTAAAGCTCTCAAATATTGACACTTCGTTAACAATCCCGCGCTTAGAGTTATGCGCTGCTTTACTGCTGGCACGTCTTATTTCACACCAGTATACAATTTTACAGAATTTTGCCAGAATTGACCGTATCCGTGCATGGACTGATTCTACGATCGTTTTGAGTTGGCTTCACGCTGATCAAAAACAGTTCAAAATATTTGTCACTAATAGAGTTGCAAAAATTAAGGCTCTGACTCCAACTTGTGAATGGGCACACGTCAGATCCACGGATAATCCAGCGGATCCTGCTTCGAGAGGACTACTTCCCTCCGAATTGATTTCAAATTCATTACATTTCCGGGGTCCTGAATTTTTATTTCAACCTGATGATCATTGGCCCGTGTCTACCGTGTCAGAATTGACGCTACCACCGATAGAGCAATTACTTGAGACTAGGTGTATAACAAATGTTTTACATTTGCATGAAGAACAAAACGGTGAGTCAATTATTCAAAGATTTTCATCACTATCAAGATTACAGAGAGTATTAGCTTACTGCTTCAGATTCATTGACAATTCGCGGCGACGACAAGTCAACTGTGGTCCATTAACTTGGCGAGAATGCGAACGTGCTTTATTGTCGGCGGTCAAGTGTTCTCAAAAAATCTATTTTTCTGAACTTTATCACAAACTGGTGAATTCAAAATCAATAGTCACACCAACCGTCCTCGCACATTTGGCTCCGTTTTTGGACGAGGGACAAGTCATTCGAGTTGGTGGTCGATTGAAATATTCAGCTTTAAATACAGATGCAAAACACCCGATACTCTTGCCCAAATCGTCTCATCTTAGTCAATTAATTATCCAACATTATCATTTTAGTACGTTACACGGTGGAACTCGCCTATTGTTGTCATTGATCCAACGCCGTTTCTGGATTGTCTCCGGTCGCGCAGCAATCCGACGTGTAATATTTAAGTGTATCACCTGTGTCCGACACAAGGCTAAGTGTCCCCAGCCTGTCATGTCTGATCTACCATCTTTCCGGGTCAAGCCACATCGTCCATTTAGTAATGTTGGAATGGATTATGGTGGACCCTTTGTAGTGAAAGAGAGTAAGCGTCGAAACGCCAAGAGTTATAAGGCATATCTTGCTTTGTTCGTATGCTTATCAACAAAGGCGGTCCATTTGGAAGCAGTTACAGATTTGTCCACGGAGGCCTTTTTAGCAGCTCTAGATCGCTTCGTGGCCAGACGAGGAATTCCATCGACCATACGATCAGACTGTGGCACTAACTATGTCGGTGCAGCTCGGATACTGAACAATTTATTTAAAGATGCCACGGTACAAGACGTTTTACACGCCCGTATCCCCTGTCAATGGATATTTAATCCACCTGCTGCCCCTCATTTTGGGGGAATATGGGAAGCAGCGATAAAAAGCGCGAAGTTGCATATGAAGAAGGTAATCGGATCTCAGATTTACACACTGGAAGAATTTATGACATTGATCACCAAGGTTGAAGGAGTGTTAAACTCGCGACCATTAGTAGTTGCGTCCAGTGACCCAAACGATTTGTGCGCGTTGACTCCTGGTCATTTTTTAATTGGACAGCCGATCATGGAAATTCCTGACAGTGACGTTACCGACGTACCCCAAAATCGACTTCGCAGATGGCAATTGGTCAAACAGGCTACTCAATCATTTTGGACTCGATGGAATCGCGAATACCTTCATACATTACAAAGCCGACAAAAATGGTACTCCCAGTGCGCCAATTTGAACGTGGGAGACATGGTGATTATAAATTCCCCCGCTCGCCCTCCTCTAGCCCGGCAATTAGGTCGCGTGATGGAAGTCCATCCTGGACCGGACAAGGTAGTGCGAGTAGTCACAGTTAAAACGGCAGAGGGACTTTTAAAGAGGCCAGTAGTAAAGGTTGTCAAGTTACCTACCTCAGAAGATGCAACCGATCTTAACTGAAGTCTTCTTCATTCCTTTGTTATATATATATAAACTTACCCCTTTCACTAATAAGTCGTTTGTATATTCTTGATTTATTTATTTATTTATTTTTTTGAATTTGATCTTAGTACTTTAAGTTTCTTTGTATTATATATTATTCAATGATTGTAAGACCTACGCTCAGACAGAGAATATTTCTTTTTTGAAAGACGTCCTTTCAAAAGGCGGGAGGATGTTCGAGCCAGATATCGCCAGAGCGCACCAGCTAATTGGCGATTAATTAAATTTGATCCGGTTGCTGGTGCGCCTGCGCTGTTCTGCCTGTGTGTGTCGCCGCGTCTTCTCCCGCGAGCAGTACCCCGGTCGAGTCTCGACAAGGAAGTGTCGTTGCAAACTCGACAACCGGTCGTCGCCATTTTTTTGGTGTCTCTGTAGCCATCGGTGACATATTGTCATGGTGTGCGTAACGCGAGACGCCTTTTGTGTACACGGGTACGAATTACTTTACACCAGTGCGGGCGGTGTAAGATTGTAATAGTGTGTGTCTTGTCATGGTGCATCGGGTGCCAATCGGTTGACGACACCACTTTCGTTTTGTTGCTATTTAGTATATTTCTCTATCTAATACATATCTCGCGCGCGGGTGCGACCGACCAAATCACCCAAAGGTGCATCGGGCATTTTATTGATTGGTCGTGGCTTCTTTTTGGTCATATATTAAATAACTTTTTCTATGTGTGGTGCGATCGCCATGTGGATCTGTGAACAGTCGTCGTTTCGATCAAGTTGACAGTATTGGAGGACGGATAACCTGTCTACGGATTTCATCAATTCATCGGCGGCGGTCAACGAATCACGGTAACGCGTTATCATACAAGTGATACGCGATATTTTATATCATTTATATTATATTATCAATTTTGTTTGGTTGTTGTTATTATTTCATTATTATTATCATGTACCTATATTGTTACCAATTGGTTCAATCTTTGTAGTATTATGACAACATTTTATCTTATATAGTAGGTAGGCGCCTACTCCCCCTATCAGAATATTTTATACATACAGTTATATTATTCAATGTATGTGATGTACTAATATATGAGTTAATACAGTCCACAATTATTCTATGACAATCAATCAGGTGTTTTAATTATTATTGTTATACACTATTCCTGTTGTTTGGCTATTAGTTAAGTACATACACTACAACTAGATAATGTTTATTTTTCGGCAACTTAATTGGTTTATAGTACGTCAAATCTTTAGGGAGCATATTGTCGTATAAATCTATAGATTTCACTGGTAGTCGAAACGGAGATTTATGACTGACAGGTGTTGAAACAGATTTCATTAAACAATCATCCGACAATGGCTTAGTAAATCACGGACAACCACGACCTTAATAGGCTCATCAACAGGACCGTACATCATTTGCGCATCGTCTGTTTACCTGTGCCAAAATATCGTACATCATTTGCGCATCAGCGCTAATTATTGTTTGCGCATTGTCCGTTTTACCTACACCAAATTATTATACATCAAATGCGCATCAACATGCTGAACAATAGAATTGTATAAAAAATAGTTTTTGATCGAAAATGTAATAATTTTCATAAATCATATGTAATAAATAAACCCATATAATTAAAATAAATTGAACTGTAGTATTGATAATTATACAAATACACATATTGAAATGAACACTTTTGTCGGTACATTACAGTTATAGTTAAAATACAAATAAAAATATAATTTGAATAGAAATAGATTTAAAATAAATATTGTATAAATCAAAATAAATAAATTAAGCTTTAAAATAAATAATATTATAAATCAATACATGGTATATTATAATGTCCCATTATTTTAACAAAATGAAACCTGCTTATTTCACCGGAAGTATACTTCAGCCAATGTTTATTAATGTAGTCTAATTTTTGACGTTCAGGTGCCCGTTGTACATGATGAATATTTCTAGAAATATCTTTAATTTTAACATAGGTCTCTGTCTGTATTTCTTTCAACGTTTCTATTACCTAAGTACATACATATAAAAAAAATATTCAGCTAACTAAATTTATAATTTATAAAAATGACCATTTCATACTTTCCATATTGGAGGATGAGTAATGTAAAATTGTGCATTGTAATGAGAATGAAATGCTTCAGGTCCATTTGTTGTTTTAGGTAAATCTGATAGTTTTTTGCCCACATCTCTGGTGGGAATAAACAATTTTCTTGAATATAATTGTCATAGATGTAATCACTAAAATGCAATACGTCGCTATTTGGTGCGATTTCAATTAATTCACAAAACACATCAGAAACTTCTTCAGGGGAGATGAAAGATAAACCAAAGAAATATTTAATCCATTTTCCGATTTCGGTATTAGATTTATATTCGTTTCTGAGGTAAGGAAAATCTTGATTGAGCTTCCTATACCAAGCTTGCCCTAAATGAAATCTGCATCCGTATATATCACATAGTGGAAAACAGCGTATAATTGCCAAATGTGCACTCCTTTCAAAATCTACTCTGATTGTTTTTGGGTTGAATATCAAATTCATCGATTCACATGTATTTATTAAAGATTGCCACATTTCAATATAATCTGTTGTAATTTTTCCGGTTAAAAAATAATATACTAAGGGTAAATATAGACCGATTTTATGAATATGAATAGTGTAAAATTGATAAAAATATTTTGGACAAAATCTAAAGGTCCCGTCTGCCAGAATTTAATCGGAATTTTCAAATTTGTTTCACAAGTTAATAACACAATTTTATTGTCATTTACATAAAGAAATCGTTCTTTTTTGAAAGTTACAAGTGTTTCTTGGGAAGAAATTAATTGCAAAATAGCTTCATCATAGGATTTCGGCCACACCGGTACAACCTCTCTACGTTTTCTGTATATATTTTGTCTATAATTGGAAATATCATTGACTGTTACATGATCAGCGTCAGATATTGCTTTTCGTATAATTTTGTTAGGCCTCATTGATATTTCTTCAGTTGCTTTTCTTTTAATAGTGTTTTTAATCTGAAAAAAAATGTATAAAAAAGTTTTCACTAAACTATACGCATTACGAATAGGTATATCCTATAGTAAAAATAAGTTAAGCAGTCGTTATCTTTCTCATGTTTTCCGGCCCTCTTTCCATGTGTAATATTATGTCCTAATCTTATAATATTTAATATAGTATAAATTTATTTTTTCGATTTACAAATGATGATAGGCGATATTATGCATAGATATTTATATTAACTCTTTTTAGTTGTTGTTAAAGCGCATCAATTTAATTTTTACAAAGTTATTTAAAAAAAAAGTAAAATTAATTTATAATTCTTAATTTGACTTACTTCGTGTTTTTGTATCTCTGAATCCGTCAATTTGAGATGCGTATGTTCTCCACGTATTTCTAATACAGTTCTTCGATGTTCATCAATTTTTATTGAGGCATAACAATTTTTTTTTGGACACATAAATATAATTTCACAACTTTTTAATATTTTTCTTTCAGTGTAAAAATAATTTTGGAAAATGATTACAGATTTTCATAGATTTAAATTAATAAATTTTAATTGGCTCATTTTTAAATTAATAATATATGAGAGCCGTACAACACGTGTTGTTTAAGTCGTACGTCCCGACAGTGTGTCAGTATCTCGTTTGATGTACTTTGCGATAAAAATCGATAAAAATCGATTATATCTTAGTTATGTTATTGCTAACTATAATGATAATCCTACACAATATTATCTCAATATTCTCAGCTTATCGGCCCATTATGTGCCATCGCTGCCATCACAAAATCTCTCCATTTCTCTCTATCATATGCGTCGTCAAACATATTTTAAAACAGAAATATCTGTACAATATATTTTGAAAGTTGATGGATGAATTTCAAGATCAAAATTAGAAAACAACTAGCACTTTTGGGTGTACACCTTTTTTAGAATTATATTGTTAAATAATATTGATAAATGATGCGCAAATGATGTAAGACCTTTTAAACGGCTGATGCGCAAATGATAAATAACCCAAAAATCGAACGATGCGCAAATGTCTTACAAAAAAGGTCTAAATTAACAACAGCGATACGCAAATGACAACCGGCGATCAACAGTGAACCTAGTCTCATTGTCACATTCTATGACCACAACGCTTTCAATACCATCGACCACTTTGGGCGTACGGTTATTTTCATCTGCTTTAACGGTCGAAGACTTTGGGATTTTTAACGACAGTGCTGTGAAAGGACGGTACTTGATGGGTTTTAGATATTTGTGTTGTTTTTCTTTTTTTCCCCAACTCTCTGTTTCGTCTAAATGGTTAAGGCTAGACAATTCTGAAATTTTTCTTTTTCCATTTTCTTTAGTAGTACAGGTTTAGACTTATTGTCAAAATCAAGCGCACGAGGACACTTTCCTTTTCTAATATTGTACTTCATTTGTCTGTGTACATTCGTCACACGCTGTCTCATAAGTTTTAAAAACCGGCCGCATTTAAACCTACGGTCGCCTTCTAGTATGTCCTGTTTGACTGTTTTAAACCAAGATTCAACGGTAGCATTACTCTGGTGGATTTCAATGCCATTGCTGAGTTTATTATTCATAATAGGTGTCCACAGTGCTAAGAAAGGTACACACTTAACTATAAACTCGTGTAAATATGATTTATCATAATATTCATTAATGCTTATATTTTCAATATTTTCAGCACAATTCGAGACTTTAGATTTAACCAGTTCTTTGATTGACTGAAATCTACACAACATCATGGAATTACTCGTGTTGGATTCGCATAGAAATGTATTTATTTCCTCCGAGTGATCCTCACCTTTGTTGTTCGATTCATTTGGCAATTGGTATTTATCATAACACTTGGCTCTCATTGTACTAATGGCATTGTTCATGGGTCCTGTACCATAAGGTGACAACAGTATTACTGAAAATATTTTGAACCATTGTTCAACATCTGTCAAACTGGTTGTGTTAAAAAGTATACATA